TACTGTCATCAGATGTGGAATAATGTGTAATTTTTCTATCTTGTTTAATTTGCTTATCTAAAAAGTTGACATGCAGAACAGTTGTAAAATTGAGTTTCTTACACTTCATATCTTATGATGTTGTTGGTTTTTTTTTTTAAGATTTATTTATTTATTTATACAAGCACTGGGTACAGTCAGAAGCACGGGAGGGTGAGAGAATTCACCAGAGCCAGAGAGGGGAATAGAAAGGCAGACTGACAACATACACTGCTGAGGGGAGCAGCAGGCGTGGCAGGAGAGGTCTGTCACTCCATGTGGGACCCTCGCTAGCAGCCAGGGATTGAATCGGTGCTGCAGATGCTGCGGGCAGCTTTGCAGCCCAGTGCTCAACTGCTGTGCTACCAGGGGAGGCCCATGATGTTGTTGGTTTTTAAGTTACTGAACTACTTTATTTGAAAACGTGTTCTATTAATTTTTACATTAACCAGTGGATAATATGTGTATTATTATTCTTTTAATATATAATCTGTATATTATTGCCTGTGAAGTAGAATGAAGGGAATGTTGCTGGTGCTGCTAAATTAGTAAGTATAGAAAATCAATTTATTCATTGGAAAATCAGATGTCAGAGTTCCTGTCCACATTTCAGCAACAGCATAGGAAGGAATTATAACTTCAATTTAATTTCATCCATAACTATTGATTGGCTGAAATTCAATGCCATCCACAAGTGTTCCTATAAATTAGAACTTGTGAGGTAATAAAGTTAAGAAGAACCTATTGTCCTTATCATGGAAACAAGCACACAGGTCACTTAGAATAATTAAATGCCGAGTACATGTAAGATTAGTGTCTTAAGAGATCTGAATTAAAGAGAGATCTTACCCACTGAAATAGTAGGAGACTTCAAAAGGATCAGGGCTTGAGCTGTACATAGAAAATATGCAGAATTAGATAGGAAGAGAGGCGTAAAGGCAACTGAAATTGTCTTCGAAGCAGAGGGACATACTTGATCAAAGTCAAAGAAGAAAAAAGCAGGGCATGCTGTAGACAATGTGACTTGCTTGACTAACAGAGGACTGATTCAAGTTAATAGAAGTGGGAAATAAGGCAGCATAGTTCAGATGTGGTTCATAGTTCAGATCTTCTTAAGAAAGAAGATGCAGCAATTCCACTAAGACTGGTATGTCAATTAGACATTCAAATATTGATGTACTCTAAAATCAGAACTTGGAGACATCACCAAATAGTGATTTATCTATAATCCACTATTGATTTATGCATGGGTAAATTTTTATTTAAAAATTTGGGTATAAAAAATTCATATATAAAGAAAATTTAGGGAGTTTTCCCTAAAATTATTACGTATCATTTTGTAACTGAAAAGTGAAGATAGTATTTATTCACAAATTAATGAAACAAAATTAAAATATTGAAATTTTTAAGGAGTTGTTTTTTTAATAAGTGTTGAATATACTATAAAAAAGACATTTTCTGTAAAACAGGATGGTTCAAAGCTAGGCAGAAAATCTAATGAACATTTATTTGTTGTTTAAAAAGGTTTGGATAAATTTATGGAAACATTTGGATTAATGACCAAATCTGTTTTTAACAAAAATAAAAAGCAAATTATATTGCCAAGATTTTTATTATGAATTACTTATTAAAATAGAAAAAAATATTAACTTGTTCAAGTTAGTAAAATAACTTCTTTAGCTGTTCTCTTTATATTGATGTATAGGTTTAGAGGCACTCATTTCTTTCATACCTTGTTGCAGAATCAAAGTCCATCCTCTCCTTAGTTCCACGGGAACTGGCTAAGACAGGATTCAAAAACAAAAGATAATCCTTATTTCATAGTTCAATTTTTATATTCTCTCAGTGAAAATTTGAAAGAAAAGTTAGATATCATGATAGGAACAAGTAGATGAATAGGCCCTGGAGATGACATTCTACCTTCAGTTTTACTAGTTCTGCTAGGGATTTTTTTGTTTGTGTTTGCCTTGTTTACATTTTTTATTTATATAAAAAGTGAGCATAATCATCAGAAATGGTGACATGAAATAGTATTCAGGACTGAAAAACTTTAAGAATCTAATTTGAATGTAATCTGGGAAAATTAAGTATTTTATTTATTTTCCCAAATTTGATCTATATATTTTTAAGTTTTTCATTTAACTAGCAAACTAGTTTAAGATGATATATAACAGATAATCCCTTTCATTCACAAAATGGTGACAGAATATATATAATGTTTGAAAGAATTCAAACAAAATATTGGAGCTTAGCAGGGAAACATGACCACATTAGCCCCACGTTTTTGAATATTGAGGAGTGAATGTTATCTCATTGACTCATTTCCTCTTACATTGAAAAATCTATTGAAATACTGATAGCTTATACCATTGTGACTTTTTAAAAAAGATTTATTACTTGACTTGTCAGTTTTTAGACTTTTGTTTCTCATTGAAGTCCAACAAGATAAAAAGTTATGGTTTTTATATTACATTCCTTACCCACTATAGAAAACAGATGAATAATGTACTTGTCTGTTTACTCTCATACCACAATTTCTTTTGGCTCTTAGCCAATACTTAAGGAGACACAGCAAGAACAGCTTAGCTTATAAAGATTACTCTTCCTGCAAAGATTCACAGTTGAATCTCTTTTAAGCAGGGACTGCTTGTTAATTTCGGAATCCACTTTTCTTGTTCAACACAATGATGTGGCCACAATAGTTTGCAAAAAATCCAGCTTAGCCTGGCAATAGTTTCATTTGTTTATGACTTTGTTCTTTAAATCGCCATAAGAAATTTTTGGGAGGTCCATTAAATCACCACTTATTTCTTTATTGCATACAGAGAAATAACACTACTAAATATTTCAAATCATTTAAAATAACTTTTGTCATAGTACAAATATGCATGAGAATGTTTAGTAAGCTAATATTACCAAAAGTCAAATATAAAAGATAAAAGTTACATTCTCTTATATATAAGGGGCTACAGTTTGGGCACCTGTGTTCATAAAGTAATGTAGTATTCTTTGCATTAAGATATGGCATATTGACTGAAACTCTTAAGGTAGAATGCAAAAACGAAGCTATCGAGAGCTAAAGAAATGCTAACGTTAACTCCATTGTAATTTAGACCCGTCAACAAAATTATCAGGGCAGCAATTTTAGAGATAATATTTTAGGTACTGCCTACAGTATTCTACTCATATTTAATGAAAATGTGCTTTCTTAAACAATCAAATATTTGCCCTGAGTTCTACTTTAGAATGTTTGTATTTGTTCAACTGAAAAGTTAAAGTCAAGCATTCATTTTCAATGGGACTTGAGAAAGGCATGCAATTAGAGGATTTGGAAATAGTTGTATATAGCTAATGAAAATTAATCATTTACTACCACATGAAAGTCAGTTTAAATGTTTCAGTCTTATTTTATCTTTCCATGATGCATATTACGTGGAAGTATGTGCTGATATATGGAAGTTTTCCTCATTGGAATTTATCCTTTTCAGGTAAATAAATGCATTACTTTTCCCCCTGAAGATCAATGTTACATATTCTATGAAAGAAGTATCTATGAAAAATGTATCATCCACATGGGCTCACTTGATACGGCTCTTTCATATTCCTGATGAAGTCAAAAGTGTAACTTCCTCTCTGAGAACTGGCTTTGCATGGAATCAAAGGAAATTCTCTGTCATAGAATAAAGCACAGCATTTTCCATATAACAGTCATTCAATGAATAGTTGAAACAATCAGTTAAATTTATACAAGAATCTTTGCATTACCCCATGCAACTAAAATGATTAATTCCATTATTTTAAGCTCTTCTCCATGGATAATAACAGAAACCAAAGCTGCCACTATATTGGTTATTCCTTTCTTCCTTAGTAGATTTCCATATGTACCTATTTATTTACTTGAATTTTTGAGTCTAACAACCTGAAAGTTAATCTTGTGATATCACCATTGTTTAGTTGTGCCTTCTCTAAATGCACCTTGAGATATATAATGTATAATATATATTATATTATATAATATATTATATATAATTCATTGTCACATAATGATAAAAAACTAAACATTTGCTTGAAGACAAAAAATACTACTAAGTAGAATGGTTTATTTGGAATCTTTATTGTTATCACTTATTACTTTATACATTATTGGTACAAATTCAATCTGCAGCAATGCTTTTGTTTGAAATTCTCAACTATGAATAATAGTTGACATTGAAATTGTTCTACTGTGATATACAGTTAATTTTACAAAAGAAAAACATTGCAGATAGACTACACATAACATTTTGTAGAATTGAATGATCATCCCCCAATTACTTCAGTCTTTGTCAAATTCGGTTTATGAATGTTCCTTAACTTTGCAGGCATAAAGGAAGGAAAACGTGCATGTGTGTATAGATTGTTATTCAAGGAATATGTCTCTTCAATTTAATTTTATGCATTTCAGTATACATGGTATTGTTCTTAAAATATGAAATAGAACTCAAAAGATTTGATGTATCAAAATGTGCTCATAAATGACACAGTGCAAATTTCATGGTCAACATTAAAAGACCAAAAGAGTCCTCTGCTATCATCCTTATTTTATATATTTTTAAAAAACTGTAGGGGGAAAATACTCTCGGGGGAAAAAAATGAAGCTTTACTGCAAGAGAAATGAATGCAAGAAATGGCACTTTAAGTAGTGAAGAGACGTGAAGCATTGCAACTTCATAGCCTACTAAGGAGCAACAGCTGTACCTAATTTCAACTTGACGTGCTTCAGATCTCATATTCATATAGGTATTTAATGATCCAAACATAATGGTCCTATATAGAATAATTACTTATATGAAGGAACAAACTTCATATGCATTCCTTTTTAAATGATCCTTCAAGAGAAAAACTGCACTGGCTCTTTGAACAATGAATAGTCTCTTTCACCAATCCAAATGTTTGGGGCTAAATAGCATATCTTTTAAGAGAGAATAATAATAGTGCTGAAGTTACTTCTTTTTGACAGACTCTTTTTGTCTTCCACCTTCCCAGGATAGCCAGTACAATGACAAAAGGTAGAATGCTAAACCAATCATCAAGTCATAGTAATAGATGGTTACAAGAAATATCAGAAACAAAAGGAAATAAGATAATTTAGAGTGGATGTATTTTGAAAGCAGAGACTCACTACTTTCAGCTTGACTTTCCTGGGCAGAGAAACTAGCAGAAGGCAAACTCTCAGATTCCTTGTCACCTGAAGAGCACATTGATTGTCCAGAGGTTATTAATCCTTCATTTTCATGCCCTGCCTCTTCCATGTTCTCAAATGCTTCATTGACTAAAATCATTGGCCCTAGAGATTTTTCCACACTGAATTCTTTGTGGAATTTCTGGCCTATAGATCTGGCTCTTCTACTACCTGATGTCATGATTCCTGAACTTTTGGAAACTTCCTGTGGCTTAGGTCCAGGATGATGATGCTTCTCAATATCCTGCATTTCATTTGTTGGATCACAATTATGTTCTGATTTACTAGAAATAGATTGGAGAGTCATGGTTGTAATTGTATTTTCTACAGCAATCGCCTGTTCATAAGTTGGCATTGAAGTTTTATCATGGTGATTGGAAACGTGAGAGTCATTTGGAGAAGCCCCATTACTATCTGAGATAAAAGCAGAATGAATAATGGTATCTGTATCCATTTTCTTTGATAATTCTTGGGCTTGCCCATGATTTCTATGTTCTGGAAACATTTTTTTGTCTGTTGGTAACATTCCAAAATGTAAATCCTTTTTTGAGGCTGTTTTTTGATTGTCTATAATGACCTGTAAGGATTCTTCTGCAGATGTTGTATTTCCAGTGCCACGTTTCTTCCTGTCATGTGTCTTCCCAGGACTGTACATAGATATGGCTTCTTCCTTTTCCATTTCATCTACATGTATATTACAAATACCTAAACGTGATTCCTTTTCAAAATCATTGTCATAGATTACACCCACTGTATCTCGTTGACAAAGGGTATAATGTGAATCATCATTTCTCCCTTCATGTGGATCAAACGCTGTTTCCTTTACCTTGATGGGCCTGTCATTTCGTGCTGTCTCTTGAGGTAGCTTAGCAATTATTGCTTTTTCTCTAGCAGACATGCTTTCTAGAGTACTTTCTGATGTTGTCTTAATTATATAAGCCGTACCTGCTTCTGCTTTCTCGGTAATACCATGATCAGCTAGAGAAGACAGTTCACAGCTCACTGTTTCTTGGCAGGTAAACAACTCCTCTGCAGGAGTAGCTTTCAAATTCTCTGTGTTATCTTTTTCCCATGTCTTCTTACAATCTGCTTGTTCATAGATCTGTTCTGTTACATTTGTTTTACTCTCCCTTATTTTTCCCTGACTTTCCAGAACATTCCAAATTTGTTCATGCTGTGTACTCTTATTCTGATCTTCAGGATTGTTCCAATCTGATTTTTCTTTTTCGACTTGAAAGATATAGTCATTCCTCAAAGTATTTCCATTTCTTGGTGAACAAACTTGACCAGGCGTCTCTCCTAAAGTGGTGTCTTCACTGGTCAAAAGATCATGCTTTGGGGTTGTTAACAAAACTTTGTCCCCAGTTAGACTTATCCTTTGTGAAGGAAAGGTCTCTGCTGTGATTGCCTTGGTGGGAATTGTGGTATCTCTACTTGGTGGAGCCATTAGGTCTCTGTTTCTGGTTCCAGTCCCTTGCACACTTACTTCATAGTGACCCGTCTCTCTTTCTTGGGCTTGAAAAATTGATCGAAAATTTTTCTTTTGTTTTTCATTAACACCTAAATGTATTCTTTGCTCCTCCTCATCCTTACCATTGCTGTACTCTTTCTTGACAGATCCCTTTTCTATTGATTCTTTTGAATGGATATCTCTTCTTAAACATTCCCAATCTTTTATTTCCATTTCATTAGCTCCTCCTTCATGTTCTTGAAGGTTGTCTGCCATTGGTTGGGCTGAGGAGGGACAAGATATTTGCACTCTGCCTCTCCCTTGGGCTGGATTAGCATTATCATCCAGTACTTCTTTGGTACCACCATATAATTGCACTAATTCATCACTGTTAGTATTGCTCAGTGATGGCTTGATTTCTACTGTATCTGAAGTAATTTCCTCGGAAGGTTGATGACTATATTCATTTACTGAGGAATATTTTTCATTGTAGTAAAAATTTTCCTTTAAGGAGCTTTCTGCTGATGAACTTGGAGACAAAGGCCTTTTAGACAAGTCAGTGCATACTTCACCATGGACTTGCTTCTTCTTTAGTCCCTCAGCTTTATTTGAAAAATTGAGTGGATCTATTGAAAATGCATTAATTTCATCTCCGGAAACTGAACTTCTAGTTCTTATTAAGCGTTGATTTATCTTAAGAAATAAAAACAACAGGAAAATAGTTACCATATTATTTTAAATACACAAAGCGAATCTGATAAGTTTGAATAACTTGGCTAGTAATTATCTGCTTGATTTCTTAGACACATTTCATTTGTGGATTATGCACAAATTCCGGAAGCCAGATGTTTTGGGGGAGATCTTTGTAGGCTATGACTAGGGAATGAGATTAATACGAAAAAGGCCAAAATTAATCATTCTCCTTCCCAGCTTCCAAATATCACATTGTATTATTCAACTATTCTTGCTTGTCATTGCACTTTCTCCTCACTTGGGATATACACATTGATAGCTCCATGCTAATCAATTAGAGAGCAGCTTCCTGGTGCCCCTTGCTGCATTTACACTTGCTATAGGTGCCCCTATTACAGTTTCTCTTATTAATATGTTTTCTGCAAAGCCTCTGCAAACTATTAATAGCAAAACGTCACTCAAAGAAAAGTGAGGGAGTTAATGTCTCTGCAAATTCTGTTTTAATGACCCTCTGCCAACTGGTACTCAAATGTATTTGAGCTCTTCAGTGATGCCAACTGTCAGGATTTAACAGTGAGATGCCTGTGTGTTTTTTTTTCCTCCTCATAACTGACATTTGCATGATCTCAATAATTATATGCAAATCTTACGTTTTCCCCTTCTTCTCACATAAGGCTCATGTTACTTGTCAACTGCACAGCTGTCTTGTAAGCCAATGCCTGTGGGTTCCACAGATTTGGTTGTATTTCCATCTATTATAGAGCTTCATTGTTTTATGCATTAACGTCAGCACAGAGCAAATTAGCATCTAAATTACAGCTCCCTGTTCATTTATTGGACTTACAATCTCAGTAACTTCTAAACAAACTTTATATTTGAGCCTGCTCATTGTAATGAGATGTGTTGGTGGAGTATGTGATTTTCAGGGCCCTTTCATTATATTCAGTGGTTTGAAAAAAATGGCGATGTTAACTTTCAGCTGGTGAGAATTCTCACAATGGGTGACAACTTTGTAGTTTCTTAAAGTTAGAGCAAAGTAAATTGCATACTTTAGTGATGCAGCTTCCATATCACTAAAGCAAAGGTGGATTGTGTGGGGAAAGAGATGAGCTCTATTTCTTTTCTTTTTCAGCACTGACACTTGAGGAGGCAAATGTCATTTTAATCTTAGATGATTATGAATCCATGTATCCTAATGATATGTGCTCCAACCAAATACAGTAAAGGATAAATTGCATTTTGTGACTCATTTACTCCTATTTCTTCCTTTGTGATAAAAATGCTATCTAAACCACCCCAAAAAGATTTCCAAATAGATTGAATGTTCACCAAGTGTGAAATTCACAGTAACAAATTTAATACTACATTGTACAGTACTGAATTTGTTTCCTGCTTAAAAATTATGGCACAGGTTATTTTCTCCTCATTTGGTAATTTAGTATTCTCTAATGATATAGAACTTTGAGATTCTTACAAAGATGGAAGTAAAAATAAATGCTGCTTAATGCAAGATGAGACTTGTAGAGCTGGACTGAACCCTAACAATCATCTAGTGCAGCCCTCTCATTTTACAGACAAGTTTATGCTAAGTGTACACTTGTCACAAAGATTAGAAATGCACATCAGGATAGTGCTACCTCTTTTGTAATTCCTACAAACTGTTACTCAGAACTGCTGGTAAAGAGATATGAAACAAACGTCATTAATTTACCACGGCAGAGACTAGAAGCAATACACTGAAATCAGAGTGTCTTGTTGATCAAGCTAGAGATTCAAGGACAGAATAGGTTGTGCTTTAACATTTGCAAATTATATTTGTTGAAGCTATTGAAAGGCAAGCATTGCAGCATCTTCGAAGCATAAATGGATTCATCTTTAATACCGTGGCAACCAGAGCACTTACCATCAACTCTAATTCTTTTTCATTATTTTCATCATGTTCACTGTTTGCATCTTTTACATTTTGATTACTGGTTTCCAAGTCCTCATTGTCTTCATAGGAACAAACAATGGTTGGGATATGGGTATCTAAAAAGTTAATATAATTGTACCTATGTGAGACTGTTATAATTGTAGGTTTTAACAAAAAAGATGAATTTTGTGTAAAAATGAAATAAGAAATAATACCTGTAATCTTTGCATTCTCAAAATTATTGTCATCTGTTGTTACTGATCTTTCTTCTTTACTGTTAAATTTAAACAAAATGTTATTCACTTTCTGATACTAATCTTCTAAGTATTTTTAGAAAAAGGGGAAATTCAAACCAATAACCAACCAAATTGATATTCCATAACCTTTCCTATTTTCTTTATTTTGCATAGTTTTAAATAAAATCGATCTCTCCAGATGATGCAATAGTAAATATTAGTTGAACAATATTTTAAAAATAATCACGATTTCATGTTTCTAAGTAAGACTATACTGCATATATTAAAACTTATATAACCAAAGTAAAAATATATAGAATTGTAGGCTATTCCATTGTTTATGAATTTAATCTTTACAAATGAGACCATTTTTCTTTTGGTTTAAATGATAAAGTTCTATGAACTGAATCTTCATTTAAAATAGCAGAAATTGATTTCTAACATACCACTTACTAATTTTTTTGTGTTCCATTTTACTCAAAATTCTTTCAGTTGAACTAATAGAACATTAACTCTCCACAGGAAAGGAGGGGGTAAAACAAATTTAGCAACTAGATTAATACTCATTTAAAAGTTTTTATGTGTCTATTGTCACAGGCCAATTTTATAAATAAGACTTCAAGCATGGTCTTTCTTTTAAGTGATTTGGGTTATACTCCTTTTTCTATCATATTTTGCCTGCTGATTGAAAAAGATAAATACTATTTTCTTTCAAATGTAATTTCTTTATAGGCGTTTTGTGGAACTATTATAATTTAAATTTTTCCATGACACTGAGTTGGAAAAATGCTAGTGAAAAAGCCCACATTGTGTGTAGCTAACTCTCAAGTCAGTCTATAAGATTGATTGGTCAGTTTTTCACATTTTCTTATACTGTCTCAATGGAATTTTCTCTAGTGACTTTTCTCAATGCTTTTGCTATAATAAAAAGAAATCTAGAGGGCTGGCAATGGCTAATAAGTTTGGATAAATAGAGTCTAGCCTTCATTGCATGGGCAATTTTGATCTAAGCCTTATAATAACAAATCATGAAAAATGCAAATTCTCCTATTCCAACTAATGAAAGAAAGTAAATGTTTTGTATATATTTACAGTGCTTGATTTTAATTTTACCAAAAATTTGTACTTTCCATTTGATCCATAAGGGAAAATAATGTTTCTACATATGTAATTTCTGTAGGAAAATATATAGTATTTACATCATTAATATTGACTTAATCTATAAATTGATATTTAATGAGGCCAGTAAATATAAAAATTTATTTTTGTCAATTCCAGCTGCAAGTTGGCACATCTTTCCTTCTCATTGTACATTATGCCTATGTGTTCAATAATATATAAACTGTTAAACAGCATTTAACTATTCCCACTTCATTTTTATTCTTTTTTCACTTATAACAATAACATCAAATTTGTGGAGGTAAAATAATAGCCCTTTAAAATCTTTTGGTTTTGCACAATCAAAGTGAAATCAATAATTTTCTAATTCAAGTCGCTAATATACTTCATTGTTTAAAATGATTGCATCAAAGGAAAGGAATCTGCTTTTAAATTATTTGGGGTAGGGCCTCCCCGGTGGCGCAGCAGTTGAGCGCTGGGTTGCGAAGCTGCGCGTGGCCTCTGCGGCGCCGGTTCGATCCCCGGCTGCTCCCCGGCCACCAGAGGAGGGTCCCACATGGCGCGCAGACCTCTCCTGCCGCCCGCTGCTCCCCTCAGGAGTGTACTTCGGTCCTTCTGCCTGCTCTGCTCCCCGCTCTGGCTCTGGTGAATTCTCTCGCCCTCCCGCGCTTCTGACTGTACCCAGTGCATGTATAAACAAAACAAACAAACAAACCAGCAAACAAATAAATAAAGCATGCCTCTATAAAAAATAAAAAAAAAAAAAATAAAAATAAAAAAAAAAAATAAATTATTTGGGGTATATCATTTATATCTCAGTATATATCAGTCCTATAACTAATTTTGTATAAATATGCCATGCTGTGTATTATTATATTGGTGTCTTACAAAAACATGTAACTATAAGAAATATGGTGGGAAAATCTTAGATTCAGAGATAAATATAAAAAGAAACTGAAGTAGATGAAATTTAAATATTATATCAATTATATTTGAAAAAGCTAACAGAAGATGTGTAAGACATTTATAGGGAAAAGAATAAATTTATAGCAGATATATTAAAGATCTAAAAATTGAGAAATACACCGTGTTAATAGATAGGAGAGAGATACTATAGGGATGTCAAGTCTCTCCAAAATTGATCTATAGATTCAATACAATTCTAATCAAAATTCCCAAATATGATTCTAAGGAGAATAAAGAACTGAGGCTATTTTTAAGAAATAGCAGGGAGGAGGGCAATTTTTTACCTGATTTCAAGAATTTTTATGAAGATTAATTATTAAGGTTGTTATATTGGTACAGAGACAAGACACCATGACTAGTGAAACAGGATTAAGGGCTTAGTAACAGATCCACACATATCTATTGATAGAACTTTGGTATACAAAAAATATAACATTTCAAAACGGGAAAAATGAAGGTAAGAAAAATGGCTGTCCTTTCAGGAAAAAAATGAAATTGGTGAACTGTATACTTGAAAGTCAACCCTAGAGGGATTAAGATATTAAGTATCAAAAACCTTGAAATTCTTAGCAGAAAATATATGTGAGTATCTTTTTGATGTAAGCATAGGAAATATTTTCTCGAATAGAAAAAAAATCAGTGGCTATTAAAAAAAATTATCAGTTGAACTCGTAAGATGTAAAACTTTTCTTCATTGAAAATATCTTTATAGGGCCTCCCTGGTGGCTCAGCTGTTGAACTCTAGGCTGCAAAGCTGCCCACAGCCTCTGAAGCGCTGGTTCCATCCCCGGCCACTGGTGAGGGTCCCACATGGTGCCACAGACCTCTCCTGCCAAGCCCACTGCTCCCCTCAGTAGTGTATTTCATTAGTCTGCCTGTTCTGATCCCCGCTCTGGCTTGTGTGAATTCTCTCACCCTCCCACGCCTCTGACTGTACCCAGTGCTTGTATAAATAAATAAATAAATCTAAGAAAGAAAGAAAGAAGGAGAGAGAGAGAGAGAGAGAGAGAGAGAGAGAGAGAAAAGAAAGAAGGAAGGAAGGAAGGAAGGAAGGAAGGAAGGAAGGAAGGAAGGAAGGAAGGAAGGAAGGAAGGAAGGAAGGAAGGAAGGAAGGAAGGAAGGAAGGAAGGAAGGGACTTTTAAAAAAGAGAAAATAACTTTATAATAATAAAGTAGATATTACAAATTGGGAGAAGATGCTTACATTACACAAAATCAACACAAATAAGAATCAAGAATATATATATATATATATATATATATATATAGAATTCTTAGAAATCAATAGGAAAGCACAAACTTCAATAAATTGCAATAAAGGAGCTGTTTCACATAACAAAAGTACCTATAAAGGTATGGCCAGCATTATTAGGGAACAGAGAATGCATGCCAATATCATAAAAAGATACTATTTTATAATTATTTATTGATGAACAATTTCTATCAATTGCATGAACTTGCACCAACCAAAATGCCATCAATACAGAATAGATGTGAAGCTGTGGTGTCAAAGGAATATTATATGTCACATTTAATAAACCACTGAGACATGTAATAATAAATCATAGCAACATAATATTAAGTGGATAGTCCCAAAATATTACATCAGAGAATGTTCCTCTTTATTGAACTAAAAACTAATTAAAATTTTAATATGTATATACATGTTATATACATTTCAGGAAACTCATGGATAATAAAAATTAGATAAAAAAGAAAACCTAAATTTTAATATTATGATCACAACAGATAGGGAAAAGTGGTTTTTGTAAAGTGGTTACAAATCTGTTTTAGGTGGTAGTTGCACAGGTGCTATTACATTATTTTAAATATATTAATAGTTGAATTCTAGTTTTAGAGAGTTTAATTCAAATGGGTTGCTCTCTGAGCTTGATTAGAGGATGTCTACAAGTAAAATCCCACTCTAAAATTCAAATTATCTATCATATGACTAAAACATTAAAAGTGTTTAATTAAAATGACTTAAGCAAATTTGAGGGAAAAGATAAAGAACTTGGTAGTTAATAATGAGAAGGATCATAACTATATATATATAATTGAGATTTTTTTTTTTAAGCAGAGGAGTTTCTTACTTGTCTGTTGTCCCGGTGGCTAATATAGCGCCTGACACATAATAATGGCATAATAAATTCTACTGAATAAATTCACAGAATCCTTTCTACTCTTCCATCTCTCTACTTCTTATCAACATTATTATGGCATTGTTTTCTTCTTTCTTCATGAAATTTTAATTTCAGACAAAATTCTAATAAAAGTATACATTTTTATATGTCTAATAATGCTTAATGTATCACCCCTATCAAAGTTCAGGGCAGTACTTTTAATTATGAGTTCAAATAATTAAACAAAAAAATTTAAAAGCTTATAATATAAATTTAGGGATAAAAAAATGAAAAAGATACATATTTTGTAGAGAAAAGTTTATTTTTTTTAATTTTTTTAAAGATTTATTTATTTATACAAGCACTGGGTACAGTTAGAAGCGCGGGAGGGTGAGAGAATTCACCAGAGCCAGAGCAGGGAGCAGAACAGGCAGAAGGACCGAAGTACACTGCTGAGGGGAGCAGCGGGTGGCAGGAGAGGTTCCAGTGTACCTTAAATCACATATTATAGTCACTTGAATTATTTATTCATGAGGGGTCATTTATTCTTTTGAAGGATATTTTAAGGAATCACTATATTTCATAAATTATAATAAGCACTGGGAAATAAAAAATCTAACCTATAGCCTCATACTTCAAGGAATTTATGAAGTAATGATGGAAATAGATACATTAAGTAATAAATATAACACAAATATGAAATCACAGATACTCTCCTAGAGAAAAATGAGAGGATAGAAATGAAGAAGGCACTTTATTGGGGAATCAGGGAATTGTTCACAAAGGACATTACGTTATGAGTTAGAATTTAGAAGAGAATGGTAAGGTCA